AGCGACCCGACGCTCCCGGGTCAAGATCTTCAGGGGTACCTAAATATCCTGGCACTTAGGCTTCCTTGTAAAAGCCTACTTAAAGGGTTTAGGGCTTAGAGTTTAGAGTTTAGGGTTTAGGGGTGAGGGTTTAGGGTTCAGTGTTTGGGTTTGGCGTTTAGGGCTTAGGGTTTAGGGTTCAGGGTTTAGGGTTTAGGGTTTAGGCGCCAGGGATCTTTTCGGGGTATTAAGGATAGTTGCGATAAAGACAGAAAGGCCTTAGGGTTTCGGGATCAGGGAGGAGGATTTCGGTTTAGAAGTTTTCTGCAGGCTTGGGGCTGCGGGGTGCGAGGTTTCGACTTCAGCGAGGCTTAAGTTTTTTGTTCGCTTCCAAGATAAACGGCATCTCATAGCACTGATGGTTGTTCATAAGACCCATAACCCTGAAGTGGTAGGTTGGTAGGTGTTGCAGGATCCAGGTAGGCTTCAGTGTTGAACGGAGAGAGTAATAGCACTCTGCCTTTCCAAAGCTGCTGTTCAAAAACCACTCCTACTCCTGCTCCCTGCGACTGCGACTGCCCCTACTGCTACTCGCACTCCTTACTCCTACTCCTGCTCCCCCTAGCCCTACCCCTCCGGCTCCTGCTGCCGCTCCGGCCCCTACTCCGACTCCGACTCCTACTCCTGCTGCTGCTACAGGCCTCCCGCTACCATCTTTGTTACTTAATCGCACCATTGCTTAGCATCGTTACTATTATGGTTTCTGCTCTTGGCCGTAAGGGTGATCTGTTGCTATGTCCGCACCATAGGCTATCTGGCATGGTGTGAATTACTTCTGGTTCTATGGCCATACTGCCATGTTTACACATCGGTTGCCACCGGGTCGCGCGAGCTCTTCCCGTCGTGTCCTCGCCCGGATGTGCGAAGCCACGAGCTCTTAAAGTCAGATTAACCCATCCCTCACGGCTTTCTGATGGGAGCACATGCAGGAAACCTTTCAGGAACTCTTAGGGACCTGAGGTAGGGGGTGTAGAAGTTCCGGGTTTAGAGCTTTAGGGGGCTGGGGGGACCTGGCACCTTTCGTCTTCAGAAGCTTCGGTGTGTAAAGCGTACCCAAAGACCCGATCATCGAGGAAGGCCTTGCAATTTTCGGGCTTGGTTCTGTGGGCTTACGGTCCTTTCCATGGCTTAAGAGCATTAAGCTCCTGCGTGTATTGTGTGTCTTTCGTTATTTCTTGCATGCGTTCTTTAGTACCGCCCACTTATGTGGCGACCGTGCCCGAAACACTGGTATTTACAGCAGTATTGCCTGTGCGCAACTTAACTAGGCTTCCGGGTTTCGGTGTTTGGGTTCAGGGTGAAGACGTCGATGCATGAAATTGCCGATGTGGTGGGCCACCACCCCCGCCCTTCACCCCCCCCAAACAACCCCCCTGCTAAAACACTAAAGCACTGAACAAAGAAGTCCTACAACTTGGAAATCCATCAAAAGGCCTTCCCTGAGAACTCCCCCCTTTTCAACACAGGACAGTATCTAATACCTTGTCGGCAACCTACTTTGAAAGCACCCGTATAACCCAGAAAATAACCTGCTTTGCTCTGTCCTACGTCGTGGGCCGCCGAGGAGAGCAAAGCCGCGAATATTTCGCGATCACTGAACCTAATGTAGGGGCCTTAATAATTAGAATAGGGTTTTGGGGCCCAGCATACTATGTACACTATAATTATCATAAGGAACCGCCAAAATACTGTTGGTAATTATTTAGGCCCCTTTTTTTAAACCACGAGACGGTTCCCTGAGATGTCCTTATCTCCGTACGATAGGGTTCAGAGGGGTCTTCCCTATCGAAGAGCTTAAGGCGCAGGGTGTCAGGTTTTGGGCTTTCGGTTGAGACCTGCAAGCTTTCGATTTGGGAAGCAGGGTCTTCCTGGTGAATCAAGCCAGTTTGGGTTTGGGTTTAGTCAGTGCTAGTCTTGGAGGCCCTTTGCAAGAATCATAACTTGTGCTCCTACGTGACAGGATTCTTCTTCGCCTCCTGGCTAAGGTGGCCCCGATTCTACAGAAAGCCCCAAGAGAAAAACTGCCCATCAGAATACCTAGTAACCCCAAACAAGTAGAGTACAACGTGCCCCAAAAATCCTTCTCACAGAGGTGTGGAGGTTTAGCAAGACGCTGGGGGTGCTTGCGGTAGGGGGCTCCAGAAATCTTCGGTGACTTTGGTGTGTTTAGGGTTATGGCCTTTGGAGTTAGTTTCCCTTTTGGGGTTTGGGATTCAGGGTTTCGGATTACGAAGCGTTGCGGGGTTCCGACCGTTGCATGTAGGGTATATTATGACTGTAGTTATAATAGGGAACCCCAGAATCACGTAGGTACTTATTAAAGGCCCCTATGTAAGGGTTGAGGGTTTAGGGCCGACCGAAGAGTTCCGGCTTCGGGATCTAAAGGTTACGGCTTGGCTGTTCAGGAGTTGCGGCTGAGGAGTTCATTCGTCATTTAGGAGTTTAGGAATTGAGGTTTTTCGGTTTTGGGTCTAGGAGTTCAGGGATTCAGGTGCAGAGTGACGTTTCGGAGTTCATGGCTTTATGTTGAGGGTAGCGGTTCCGGCTGTAAGAGGGGCTTAGGCCCTACACCTCAGACTTCAACGAAAAAAGAAGAAGCCAAACCTCCTGCAACCCTAAAGGAGGCTTGTGCGCGGTCTCTCTGTGCCGGCTGAGCAGCAGATTTCCCGACTTGTTGAAATAGCCGAGGTAGTAGAGGAAGCTATTGAGAACCTAAGCGGCTGACTAGCTGAAGATCATGATCGCTACTGTTGCGCTATAGAGTTTAGGGTCGAGGGGCTGGGGTTTAGAATGACTCCTTGCATGATTGACTGCTTGATTGACTGGTTGACTTTTGACGAACATGAGGGGGCCACAATCATCGGAATGGGGTATTGGGGTATATCGCTCCAAAATAACAATGGGAAGCCTAAAGAATAATATCGATAAATACTCAATTAAAGTGGTCAGCTCCTCAGTCAGCTCGTTCAGGAACACACCAAGGCCTACTTCCAAGAAATTACCACTTTGATCAAGCCTCTTGAAGCTGCTGTTGTGGGTTTCCAGCAGATCTTTCCCATTCGGCATGCAACATATTTGCTAGGGTTGAGATGGTTAGGATGAAACCCATCACAACAACACAACAATGACGACGACGACGATGACGACGATGACGACGACGACGACGACAGCTACCACAACAACAAACAAACAACACAACACAAGCAACGCAAACAAACAAGCAAACAAACAACAACCAACAAAGAAACAACAACAACGGCACAGCCGCTGCCGCCGCCGCGCCGCCATCACCACTACCAACCACCACCACCACCACCACCGCCACCACCACCACCACCACCACCAACAACAACAACAACAAACCAACAACAAACCAACAACAAACCAACAACCAACAACAAACAACAAAAAACAAACAACAAACAACAAACAACAAACAACAAACAACAAACAACAAACAACGAACAACGAACAACGAACAACAAACAACAAACAACAAACAACAAACAACAAACAAGAAACAAGAAACAAGAAACAAGAAACAACAAACAACAAACAACAAACAACAATCAACAAACAACAAACAACAAACAACTGCTGCAGCAGCAGCAACCAGACCAAGAGCACCACCCACCACAACGACGACGAGGGCGACGAACATACCTGCAAGATGGCATCATTAGTATTTGCCTGTGCTGATCTTCATGAATTACCAGTCATGTTGACGATCGTGAACATCTTAATGTCCACTGCTGGTACTGTAACTAAGTGTAGAGGTTGTTTCTTGAGGCCGAAATCCCGAACAGTACACGCCCGCCCCCCCTCCCCCCCAACCTGGCAAACTTAAATACGGAAACATTCTGGTTCGAACAGGTTGTGGATTATTGTAGGGGCCTTAATAGTTAAAAAGTGGTTTGGGGGTATATCATACTATAATTTAATAAGGAGCCCCCCCTCCCCCCAAAACCCTATTCTAATTCTTAAGACCCCTACATTATGGTATCGTATGGTTGTAACAAGGAGTCCTAGGGTTACTAAGTATATCTGAAGTCTAATTAAGCTTGTTCCCTAAATCCTAAACCCTACACCCACGGCCCAAACCCGAAACCTGAAACCAGTTCCCTAAACCTGGCACCTGAAAACCTTAGGGTTTTTGGGAGTGGGGGAATCTTTAGATCTGGGGCTTCGGGGTTTCATGTTTCTGAATTCGTGTTTTGGACGGCGAGCCTGTTTCCTCAAACCCTGCATGCTGGGCCTTCTTAAGGGCAGCCCTAAACCCTAAACCGTAAATTGATGCCCCAGAGACCTAGGCCCTAAGCTTTTTCCCGCAGTTCTGAGTCACGCGCCTGAAGCCATACCTTTGGTGTCCATTGTAGTTCCTTGTTTTCGGTGAACGAATTTTAGATTCAGGATGGTATAAGGTAATCCCCAAAAGGAACTACAATGGAGACAGAAGGTAAACCCGACACTAAACCCTAAACCCTATAGAACCCTAAACCCTAAACTCCCTAAACCGTAAACCCTAAACTCCCTAAACCCTCGTTCAGTCGTGGTTGAGGTCCACCAAGTTCATTGCGCAGATCTTGTCTCCTAAGCGCAGTGTTGAGAAGCTGTGAGAGGAAGGCACTCCTGACTCAGACGAGGGTTAGGGTTGCAGTGTTTAGAGTTATGATCACGATGACATCCTGAACCGTCAAGCCTGAGACTCTAGAGCACTGAAGTCTTGGGAGTCAGGATTCAGGGGAGGTGTGTAGCAGCAGTCCGGCGACGACTACTTTCCTGCTAGAACCCTAAGCCCTAAACGCTAAACCCTAAACCTTGAAGCCTAAACCCTAAACCCAGAACCCTAAACCCTAAACCCAGAACCCTAAACCCTAAACCCTGAACCCTAAACCCTTAACCCTTAACCCTGAACCCTAAACCCTAAACCCTAAACCCTAAACCCTTATGAAACAAACAGCTGAACTCCGCTTCTGCTTGCAGGGGACCACTTCTCCCTCAGCCGTTCAGCCTCTCCAGCTACC